GAGCATTATTAGAAAATACTCATCTCACATAGCGTCTTCTTACCATATAATTAATATATACACGAAGATGTCGTGATGTTTACACGGCACATTTGTCTTCTTCGTTACCTACAAAGCATCCATTAATTTGATGGCACCGACTGATGGCATAGTGAGAAAAGATCATGTTAAATTGTTCGCTATTCCCCTACATCAATGCTAATGGGAATTATTCATGTTGTGAATTTATCGCTTCAATCTGGCGCTTTGAGGGAATTTGCTCTTACTTATCAATCTCCGGCATTTGACTCGCAATATTGTGCGCTTGAGGGTGGATTTCCTCAACACCTCAACATATTTAATTATTCATCTCTCTCTCTCTCTCTTTGACTTTTAGAGCGACGGAGAGAACGAAAGCGAACGGGACGCGCGATGCTTTTATTTCCTCCATATTTGTATCAGACTAATTTGCATTGAGTTCCCACCTGAACTGTTCCCATCGCGATCGCACCGCACACGGATTTATTTATGCCATAATCATCGTAGCAATGTTTTATTCCTCCTCTGAAAATTTAATCTCATGCAATTGCCCAGTAAATTCACTTTTATAGCCAATTTTTCCAACTGTCTCACTCACTCAATTTCTTATACTCTCACTCTCGCCCCGCGAATCCCCATTTAAATTGGTCACTTTACATGATCTTTCAGTGGTGTGCTGTGCGCGCAATATTGGTGATCGTGTTTGTCCATATATAAATAGATTGGCCACCATATAATGTATACCTTTTTGCCACATTATGTGTACCTACATAGTCGTATGTTAAATGAATGTGGCGAGCCAAGAAATACAAGGCATTACGCAAATCTTGTGTGGGTCAATAAACAGAGCGCATTTGGTCGGTACATTGGCCACGTAATTACTGCTGTTCGCCCCATTTCCAGCTGCTGCAATAAATTCATAACACTAAAATATCTTCCACCCATCTCACCACCACTGTCCTTTTTTTTTCTCCACACACACCCACCAACCCCCACGATCAGCACGATTCCACCTCATGTCCGAGTGCCATTTTCCACCACACAGAACACTTCCATTTTTCCCAAAGTCATATCTCATATTTTGATGCGATTATGACTGTCGCGATCACATATGTTGGAATACATATATCTTACACAATGTTGCAATGTAAGAGGAGAAAGAGTGTCACAACTTTTTGAATCTTTATCTCATTTACTTCATCTTATGTGAATTTAACTTATTATATTGCACACACCACAAAATATCGACGAATTGAGTGAGCAAAAAATTCTTACACTTCAACTCCTTTGAGAGAGTGTTCTTGTGCTCATATGCATTTTGTGTGCGGCTGCCAAGTTGCCGCGGAGCGTGTGAGACACTTGGGGAGCGCGAGATGGTGGGCGATTTTGATGTGATAGAAAATCACTCTGTATCCAATTATACGATGACTATGCACAACATTCAGACACTTGACCAAGTCAGCTCATTTATCCAACTGATTTCGCACCACAAATCTCTCTATTCACCTTTATCTTGATGAACACGAGGAAAATTTCACTGTCAGAACGAAAGACAGCAATGCCCAGAGAGCCCAACCTAATGACATTTGGTGAATTGAGTCTCTCAAGTTGTTGTTTTTTTTTTCTCGGAACTTTTAAACATTAAACCATTAACTTATGACATTTATTCAAATTTCATTCACCTTCCCATATTTATCTCATTCAAATTAGATGGATCAATCAGTGTTTCAAAAGTGCCGAACATCTGCGAATTCGCGTCAAGATGTTTATACACCTCTGAACCAAGAATATGTTTCTGATAAGGAAGATCAAAAGTCATCCACATTTCAATGGCACCTGGCCTTGTTGTCAATCCAGAGAATCAATCAATATTTACACCAATTTTCCCTTGCAAAGCTTATAGGATTGCGCGGCACTTTTCATAGAGTCTTTTTCTCTCTCTCTCTCTCTTCGCCAGGCGTTTAATAAACCATTTCACCATTTAAGCTCTCTTTGCACAGCAATATTTCTCGCTTAATTTATTGTGCATTCTTCAGAGATTAGTTACGCATTCTGTCTCCGCGTGATAAAGAGTTGTAAGCTGAAATTTTGCCACATACCATTTTGCAAAGTGAACGACAAATTCTTTATAGAGTCTTTCACTCAACCTCAATTATATCGCCCCGACTATGAGGCAAAATTTGCAACATTCGCGTGAGTTTTTGTGCGCGCGCCTCTCTCTCACTAAGATTCTGTCAAGCTTCTTTTTAAAATAATAATAATAATAATAACGAAATCCCCCTCATGATGTGTGATTCAACAATTCGCAGCATAATATAGTTAATTGGAAATCGGTGAAATAGTAGCGCCAGTCACCTCCGGTGTTTATAGGTTAAATTATAATCTTTGCGCCTCCTTCCACAGGCAAAAACACCTCACTCTCTCTCTCTCACTCTGTCTTCACTTTAATTGACGCCTCAGTATTGATATGAGCAATTTACTCTTGCGACACAGAAAGTTCAATAGAAGAAAAATATACAATTAAATGTGCAATTAATTTGTCTTTTAAGGCTGAATGTAGAACAACGCGTTTAAGGTTTTCTTTTTTTCACGTATATAATGTGGAAAGGTTATTACTGTAGCTATTTTTTTTTTCTATCCACCCATAGTCGAGTGGAACTAGTAATTTGAGATAAATTCTGGAGTTATGCAGACGAAAAAATGCAAATATCCCCCTTCGCAATCAACCCATATCAATTATTTATCAATTAATGAGACAAGTGGTTTAATGATCAGCCGTATCAATCAATGGTTTCATGTTGCAAAATCAGCCAACCCAATGATTTCATCTTATTTGCAAATCACGACATAAATTCAACTGATTCGAACGACGAAAAGGCAAGAGAGGCAGATATTTTATTTAAAATATATTTCCCTTCATGCACAATGGCGGATTTTTTGCATGAATTTAATTAACATCAATCGATAAGCATCACAATTATTGGATATATTTCGCAAGAACATAATAAAAGCAATAGTCATGATTTTCATGCTTTTGCACAGTGCAGGAATATTGAATTACACACTTTTTTTTCCTTATTGCCATCACTTTTCTCAAGCTCCGGACGAAGGCTGCGCGATCGTGGATTCCAGACTTTCTGGGAGGAGTCTCGAGAACATCCTGCATGTGTGATATTTTTCATGATTAAAAATCTCCTACACCACGATTCATCATCAATCGCCAACCTTGGCCAGTCAATTGCTTGTGTACATTTTGTTTCCGGTGAAGAAGCCAGCATATGAAAATATTTCACTCCTTAGTTAAACATAACTTCTATTTGCTGCACGACGCCAACATTCATTCTCTCATGGACATATCAATTTTTCCACATCCATCATGAGATCATACTCACGCTGACGTGATGGTCGATGTATTGAATAAGTGAGAAAGGGGATCATTGAGTGGAAAATAATAAAAAAAATACACCCAATAGTAATAATAATACTTGAGAGATAATTTGTGTGTGATTTAATAATGCGTGAAATATGATCGAATGGTCTTCGCGGCTGTCAGTGTTTAACTATATACAAGTTGAATCACGAATATTGAAAGAGAGAAAATTATTATTGCCTATTGATTTACGCCGCAATGATCATATATACTGAATCGCAAAATATTTGATATCAAATAGAATTTAACCATTACGTATTAAATCTAGAAAATTTCAACCTCTTCTGTGACCCCAAAAATTCCAACCATCTTAATTGACATTTCACGTTCATATTTATTGAAATTTGATCACACACTTGGCCAAAAAATATTTATCGATGAAAAGTAAGTGTGCGCGAAAACGCATATGTGGAATTGATAAAGTCCTCCACGCGTGAAATCAATTAAGATTTTTGCACGATGAATGGATTATGCACATATTTGAGATGGGAAACTGGCATCAAGTGAAAATTGCGAATCAACGGCAAATATTTGTGCAATTTATTTGAAGTAACATCTGAGCGAAATTCAACACTCTTTGCGCGGAGATTCACAGAAATCTTACAAAACACATCACGCGCCTTTTTGGAAGAATGCGCGCGCCAAAAAGTTCCACCTCATATTTTTTTTTTAAACACTCACAAGCGAAATTTTCTTTCATATACTCATGATTCTACCAGATTAATTGTTATTCGCAATATTTTTATTTCTTTTCAATTCTCTGACCGTGCTCAATTTCATTACTGCAAAAATTCCATATTTCACCAAAGTGGCAAAATGTGTGCAATGGCACAAAATGTGTGGTATATAAAGGAAGAATAGAGGGGAAATAGAGTCGAATTATAATGTTTTTTTCTTTCTTTAAAAATTGGACATGACGAGAGAGTGAGAAAGAGGAAAAAGAAATAAGAGATTTGTACATGAAATGTATTCATTTTCATTATACATATAATAAATGTAATTTTATTTTTTTGCAAATAAATTAAACACTGTTATTGTGGAGTTATAAATCAAAAAGCACACATACTGGCTTTATTTTCCCACGAACTTCCATTCTTGTAGATCATACGCAGTCATAGAGCAAACTGAATGGAGGAAATTGGAATGCACAAACATTCAAATTTCCGCAACAATTGACGTGTGCTTTAGAAAAATTTTTGACTTACATGTCTTATACTTTTTTTTTATTTTCAGCTTCAAGAATTGGATGAATAAGAGAAATATACTCAATTGTTAGGCAATTCTCAACCAGAATGTATAATATTTATTGTTGAAAATTCGCAATGGTTTATAATTACATAGAATTTGCCACTTGATCCATTGAAAGCCGACAGAGGGAGTTTATTGATTTAAATAGCAATACGCGCTCTTTCACTCTCTGAATGTCTTGCAAGCATACTTTCAGCGCACTATGAAATATTGAAATGCTAAATTCTATAATATGCTGAAATATTGGATGTTTAATAGTCGGTGAAACTTGATCCATTTAGTCCCAACAAGCGCCTATGTGTACCTTACAATTGCACATTTCCGTGCACTTAAAGTGCCTCTCTTTCTCTGTCTATCAAGCCAAACGTGTGTCATGACACAGTCAGTGTCTCTGTCTCTCCCCTCAAACTCAATTAATAACTATAATTCATTGAAACATAATGCAATATAAAATGCTTTCGAACTATATTTTCCTCGTGTGCAACACTATGAAAAGTCACACTGAGGGCTTCCAAAGCACTTCAAACATTGCACACCTTTTAAAGTTCCACGTGCGTCATTTTCATGCACATTACATAAAAGTCACATAGGAGATTTTATTACACTTCTTTTTATCCAACACAACACCTTTTAGTCATGCCTTTTAACTTAACCATCCAACAACACAAACTTTTATTTATATTTCTATATATCGTCAAATTTAAGGAAACCCAATAATTTCTTTTAAATATCAACACGATCTTTTTTCGCAACTTCACACACAAACAACCCACAATTTATAATTGCAGTAGTTTTTAGGGAAACTCTATAACACACTTAAAAGCTTCCACATCGACACTTGGTGTTGATTAAAGAAATATTTCTTGTTCACCTTCTCATTTTCGTGATAACACGCAAAATTGAAAAGAACAGTAATTAAATGCAATTACATGAAACATTCCATAACAAAATTATTTCGTGTGCCATGAGACAAGGAGCCAGTCAGAGAGTTGAAGAAATTATACTTAGAAATATATATATACTGCTTTGCATGACACTTTAACCACAACTGCTCTCGCTTATTTTCTGTGCAAATTTTTGCATAAAACACATTGGCAATAGAGAGAGAGACGCGGTATCTCAATAAATTTGCCGCATGTCGTCACATTGTTTCTGTATTCTTCACTTCTTTAATGCACAATAATTTCGTAAAATATGGAGATGGAAAATGTTGAGGGAAGTCTCAAAAGTCCATCGATCTTATTAATCATTTTAAAATGTTTGGTCTCTTGTGGTCAAATGCAGCCATAAATTATGCGAAAATGTCCGTTAGAAAGCTCTATGAAGATTATGCTAAGTGTCTAAGCAGTGCTGTGAATTGAAAATTCTCTAATGCCACCGCAAATGTGGCTTTTCACACACACACAGAGCATCAAAGGGGGAACTCAGAGCCATTTCGCCACTTGAAAATGCTAATAGAAATCACTTTGAAATGTCTCTGGACACCAAAATGCTTGTCCGATCGACACACGACGAGAGGCGCGCGAGGAAATACAACAGTAGGTAGTTATAGAGTAAATAGATGGAGTACAAAGTAGATGATACCATCTTTCTTTCCCTCTCTTTCTCTGGAGAGTCGCGCGGTGAAAATATTTTCAATGAACAAAATTTTTCGAGAGATGGTGCAGAAAAAAAAGAAGACTCGCAAGTCAACACGCTAAACTTGCCTTATGTAAATATTGTGAACAAATTAATGCAACCAACTCGGCATGTTTGGCTTCCTGAATAAATTGACTTGAGCAGCAGAAAAAAGTGCTCGCGCTTCAAACAATGCCCATCTTTCGCACCAAGTTCACGTGCTCTCACGCTTGTAGCCTATAAAAATAAATTTAATTAATTTTGGGCGTATATTTTCCCACCCAGTTATCCATTCGGGCTTCTTCAATCGTGTGTGTGTGTATAAGTTTGTTTTCTTTACACCACATTCACGTAAGATGATTTTTATTATTGAAATACATCGAAAAAAAAACATCTCGCGATTCACAACAAATCAATATCATATATGCGGAACCTTTAAGATGATCACCAATGTTACCTTCAACTTTTGGAAAGATCAATGGAATTTTAGAGGAAAAGCGAGTCGCAATTTTATCCACATTTTTTCACAAATCTTTCACTGTATTTTTTTTACCCTCCATCAGAACTCTTCTTCTCCTCAGCGTCAATTGAATAATAGAACACAATAAAACATAGAACGGGTTGTGATTCGCGAAGACAGACGCTTCTTGTTCTTGTTTCCGTCTCTAAAGTTCAAAAGTCAATGTGATTTATTTATTGTCTCTCCCGCTAATATTCTGGGAAGTGGCGAATTATATCGGAAGACTGGTGCGAATCTCGAGACTTTGGCTAATTTAAGTAATCTTTCACACGCCATGTTAAACAAAAAGTTACTAAAAAAAACTGCTCATCTAAGTCTTTGTCAAAGTCAAATCTCTTGAAAAACTTCTTCATTAAATATACCAACAAAAATGAATGATTAGATGGAAAAATTCCCCTAAAAAAAAAGCGCCGAAGAGTTAAGCACACCAACATGTGATGTTTTACCTCCTCGTGTTACAAGAAAAAAAAGCACACACTTGAATTTAATTGTGGGTAGAACCTTATATATTTAATATAATAACTAAACATTTTGAACTTTTTCGTGTTAATTAGCAATGCTAACTGCTCAAGGACATGAACCACATTTTCACTTAAAACCACACACACGCCGCAGAGTTAGGGTGACCACGAGGCGCGCATGTCATAGAAAAATGGCCCAGCAAAGTGTGAGAATAAGAGGTGAAAAAAAAAGAACATTAGACTATTATGAAATACATTTATGCCTTTTTTGCTTTGCTATGTGAATTCGCAGGTACTTACAATAATTACCTTCATGGTCTGCTACCATGTCACATTATGGGATAATATTGAAATTGAAAGTACAAAGTGTGCAAGAGCAAGATATATTGGCGGCATGAGGAAGAAAGACACAAAATACCAGAGCATGGCTAAAAATCAAAACACCTTCAGTAATGTGATATTTTGATTTTCAACGTATATACTTTCGATAGTGATCAAACGAGGTGGCAAATATGAGGAAAATCACTGCAAAACTGTCGACGTGAAGTCGATTAACACATCGTTCAAGACTGATTTCCTGCATTCTCTGGCTTTAAAGTAACTCAAATTCTTTCCGAAAATAAAATTTCCTCCCCTCAAAATGTAGCGTAAAGTTTCGCGACTGTTCATGATTGAGTTGCAATTATTTGAAACGCCATAAATTACATGTTTTTTGTATCAAAATAAAGCAATCATCGAGAAAGTATAACACAGTTCCTGGAAGATGAAAATACTAGGCTAGGCACATACATACATAACCCTCAGACGAACCAAGCCCTGAAGAATGCGAGGTTAATGTCATACTTCACACAAAGGTCAAGAGAATAGTGTGCAAACAACGAGTGACTTTATGTTGTACCCAGAGTGAAATCTCTATTTCGGGACATTTCTTACCTAAAGAATCGACATCATGTGTAAATAAAACCACACTCTTTGCTCAGGTGACCTAAATAGAAACAGCAAAAACTCTAGTATAAGATTCGTGTGTCCGGCAAATTGCTCTACAAGTGAAGGGATATTCGAGTGCAATTGTAGTAATAATCATCACACAACGGATCTATAAAAGGTTTCTGTGTTTCACTTCCACTTTGAGAGTCATTTCTGTGCATTGTTAGTAAAATTCAGCACAGCAACAAAATATTCTCTGTACAATACATTAAATAAAACAGCAGAGATCTCAGCGGAGAAATCACTCGCAATCAATTGAATGCAATTAAAATCGATAGTCTAATATATGTATATCTCTCGAAGCTTCAGCTTCAGTGAAATGCCAATGAAATAAAAACATTGTACACCACACTGTAATAGTAGCAATAGATGTACATGTAGACAAGGCAAATTGCAGGTACTTGAGGTAATTTTTAACAAATGCAATTTATAGAAATCCATCAAGTTTAAATACCCTTTCTGATTGCGCGCTGTTGAAGAAAATAGAGCGAAATCATCGGAACAAATGAAGTGTGTTTTATCTTTTCTTTTCACCTTTTCACTTCCAACAATATACTGAACTCTCATCTGTAAGTTGGCTTGTCAATTAAACACCCAACTGAGAGTGAAACCCAATAATCACTTTTCATCTCGTACATTTTTAACACCTTCTTAACTACATGGGCCTCTTTTTTTTGTTCTTCTCCAACTCGTCAAAGAAACACACTCTCTGTCTTGCCGAAAAATGCTGAGTAATTCAAATTATTCGAGAGATCATTTGATTAGAAATGCAATTATTTGTGATATAGATAAAAAAATGTTTGTAGAGATAATTTTGGGCGAGACAGAGAGTGAAAAAGAAGACGAAAAAAACCTTCCATGCCAGAGTGAAATTTGTGGAATGTCTTTGACAAATGTGTTGAACTTCAAGATCAATCGAGACGTCAGCAAGTCAATATTAGGGACAAGTTACAAAATTTCCACACTTATTATTGGCAAGGGCATTTCTCAATACTGCAAAATGCGTGATTATCTCAATTGTCTGCACACTTGGTAGGTGCAAAAAAAAAGTGTCAGTTTTTCTCTATAACACTCTTCAAAAATTGAAAATTTGCAATATCATTCCCACTCTTTTCTACCATTTTGAAGGCATATTTTATTGACACACGATACAGTTCTTTATGCTATAACATTTTAAATTAAAACTTAATCACTCGAGGCAATTTTCCTCGCGATGGTGCTCAATCTTACGTGATTCAAATAGTTATTCTTAATACACGCGCTCCATACATTTTCAATATTTTTTTTTTGGTATGTCCATAGAGTATCTATCTCACTCACAGTGTCGCTCTATCTTTTTTATTTTTCCTCTCTTTTAAAATTGTATTTACCACACTATTTGATTTGGATTCTTTTTGCCGTCACCCCAACTCCTTATCCTCAACATGTGCACTCAAAAGAGGTTATTTACTCTCCATTATGAAAATTCCAACATACTGAAAATTCCACTTTACGCACATGCAAAAATATTTCTTCAATTTTACCTCAATCTCTTTCAAGTGTCACTAGATAGTGTGGAAAACTTAATTCATTTTCTGCATTGTATCTCCTCAGCCCATAGAGGCTCTTGTGTATTCAATAAATCAAACACAGTATATGCAGAGTTTGGTTATCTGGAGGTTGAGACGCTTATAATACCCAGAAGGAATGGCGCACTGAGAGTGAGAAAAAATTATCCACCAAGAGTGGTCCGAGAGTGGCTGGGAAAGGAGATGCGATTAGAGAGTTGTCTCTCATTGCAGGAAGAAATTCAATATTTATAAGATTAGAGAGACATATTGTCTCTTAAATCGCTCTTTGCATGAAAAGTCATTTTGAAGTCCATTGAATATTGCCTCTTCCTCTCCTCCTTCGCACTTGCCACACTCTCTTTTTCACACACTCCACACACTTTTCATCAAGTGTGTGTGTGTGACCACTCGAGTTCACAACCAGCCAGCGCAGGTCATCCGGAAAGTTCGGTAAACGTGCATTCGCACTGAACATTGTGAATGGCTAATTAATATCCTAATCAACTGGAGGCCAATTAAGGTTGCTTTTTAGAGAAATCTATCTGAATTTTTCATCTAAATTTCCCCCTAGACAAAACATTGCACACAAAATCTGCATCGAATCCACCTAACAACCATCCTAAAAGTGTCTTTTCATCTCCTATATTAATATCTCTTCAAGTATGGTTGAAGATTTGCTACTCGCGCACCACATTGAACACTCACACAGTCATCTTAATCGTCAATTTTTAGTGAAAGTTCTTCCACGGCGCAAAGTCGACAACTGTGGCTTTTTGTTACAATACTACATATTATTCCAGTGCTGATGCTTAGGAAAATAGTACCACATTCAGTCCCTCAATCTAGCCCTACCACGTGCACCACAGGCACCATTTTTCCTTGGGCTCTCTTGGCATGAGTTTCACTCCACGGCGGAGTCACACACTCCATGTGGATGTCCGAGTAAAGCGCCCATATTCTCTCCATATCAACATATATGTATATATTGTTGGCAATACAGTCCCAACCATGGGTGGAAAAAATATATTTAAGAGAAAAAAAAAGAGACAAACCACTACCCATAAGAGAAGGTTGAATGAATGTGTGCGAAAAGAGACGGAATCGGCATATATTTAAAGTGGAGGGAAAAAATACTACACACATCGCCTATAGTTGTTGGCTTATGAATGGTATGAATTGCGCTGGTTAGTATCTTTTGCGTCTGCTATTACCTGTCATATGAAATCCACGGCAACAGTCGTACCACCACCACCACCATCAACCATCGAGCAATTTTGTTGTTTCGCTGGAATAGACTCTATCGCATTGACCAGCCGCCACAGAAATAATTGAACCGCGATTCGAGACGGTTGTGCTTTTGCCACTACGCTTGGGATCTCTCTCGTGCCTTCGAGCACACACCACAGCTCTCTCACCAATCAAAGAGTGTAGTGCGAAGAAAATATTGCAACTCCTGTGGCTGGACTCTACAATCTGTGCCTTTTGTAGCAACACACATTTTGATTATTTATTTACCTTGCCACAAAATGCACCTTCACCACATCATTTAACAATCGACAAAAATCCGAGGATAAAAGAGACAGACAAGTGTGTGAGAGACACCCAAAAGAAACCTCCGTTTTTCTCTCTTCAGTGTCTTTCACAATACACCAAGAAATCACCCTAAATCAATCAAACTCCTCAACAACTGTTGTGCCGAAAAAAATTTTTCAGTGATCATTTCTCTTCTCCATCAAATTCGGAATATAAAACACAGAAAACTATGCAGTGTGATTCATCATAGCGCAGCAGAAGTACAATTGGCCAATAAGAAAGTTGATAGCAGAGTTAATAAATTGAAAAAAATAATAATAACACACAGTTTAATAAATCAAATTGCTTTTAAAACACCCACACACAAACAGCCGGATATTTCAACTGTCGAGGAAGCTTGGGTAAAAACCAACCAACCCATTCCGATATATTTCGTACAATACCGAAAGTGTTACTAATGCTCAATGCAGCAACAGAAGCGCTAAGAAAAACACTTGAAAAAAAAACACCCTAAATTAAACTAAATATTGTGCAAAATCCCGTGAGTTTCAGTGTGTTTTTAAATTGAACCCAAAATCAATTGCATTCCATAGTGTCAAAAGCAAACACCCCCTTAATGGTATGTTTTGGTAAAAAATATAAAAAGAAAATCAGTGGAACAGTTTCGAGAGAGTCATGATAAATTGAAAGAGTTGAATTATGAAAAAAGAGAATATAATTAATTAGTGTTGAAGTTGTTTTCACCGTCTCGCGCACACATATATTTTCACAAAATCCATCTCAACCGTACTATAAAGTATCTAGTGCATAACTTGGTGCATTTTTCCGGTCAATCTGGACACACGAGAAGAAAACCACGCATCACATTCAGCGTCAATAATAAATACAAAATTCTTCAAGTGCGAGAAGCAGAAAAAAAATATATATATAGAGAAAAAAACACCCCGAGTTATGCAAATTTGCATTATCGCATTGACTTACAAGCGCGTATTGCAAAAAATCAATTGAAATCCTATGTTTTTTTACACATATTACTTTTATTCATATATCTTTTGCTTATAGTCGGAGATTTAACTTCTCTCTCTTTCGATATTTGCCAATTAATAATTCCTCTCTTTGGCGTGTGATTTTCAATTGACAAATTCAAACTGATTCCACTTCTAAAGAGACAGCAGGAAGAGTAAGCCAAGAGGGAGTGGAACTAGAAGTCAGGATTGTAGAGACAGACGGAAAAAACATAGTGACAAAATTACATCCTCAATAAGTATGAAAATGTGGGCCTTAAGGGCCAGTGTTCTCCTTGGATTCCTCGCGCTAGTGTCAGCAGCTGGTCCAGTTCGGCCAGGCACAGGTAATCCATCACCACGACTCCCAAGAACCAGTGCAAGTCAACTTCTGCACGCCAACTCGACGGGATTTAAAGCACCACCGCAGGCCAAGAACAACACGAGGCAAGCGCTGAGAACAAGGTGAGTGAAAGAAGTTCACAAACCCACTCTTGGTCATCCCACATCATGAATTGTTCACATAGCATACAATCGATCGTGAAATTTAATTAATTTGCCACTCGTCATCTTCCTCCTTTTCCCTCGAGTGTATGTTTTTTGCATTTGCGAAATTTAATCTAAGAAAAAAAAAGTTGTTCACAGATTCGAAAGATATTTTTGTTGATAAAGTAGCTGAACACGTACAAAATTCCATTTCTCGCTTCATTTTCCCTTAATGACCCAGTCAAATTAGATGAATATTATACCATGTTAATGATATTATAAACGTATGGCGAGCCGATAGACTTGCCTCGTTACTTAATTACTAATTTAGATCAACTTGGGTGAAATATATAATTCAATATTACTGCACATATAATGTACTATGTTTTTACAAAAAAAAAAAATATATATATATATATATATGTATGCTTACGCATGTTACTCTCTTTCTTTTTTCACCTCGTCTGGGCTGCTTTAGTGCGAAAATATTGATTTCATTTTTTTCTCACTCTTCACACATGAAATTCTTCTTCTTCACCACAACTTAAATGCGCATCACTTGATAAAAGACTGTGTGTTATATTGTCTTTTGAAGAAAAGTAATTGGGTCTTCGGAAAATGAAGCAAACCACTGCATCTCACTATTGTAAAAACTGATTTTTTTACATCATTTTTCACAACAGTTGCATAAGATCCACAAGAGACTCTTTTTATCATCATTATTTTGACTCATATATTTTTTTTCTCATCTAACACAATATCTTGAATAGCTACACATATTTTTTCCTTCTTCTTCTTCTTTAAGAAAAACTCCATGTTATATGAAGCCCCCAGCAGAGTGAGTCAGTGCAGAAATGACCACTTTTGCGCGATAGCAATCGCCACATGTTGGATTATATTTTAGTTGAATATATATTTTTTTCACCGCGCAATCACACCATCATCTGCCAATCCGGTGTGATATAGATTTTATATGCAGAGACAATTTGTGTGTAAATCAACAGCGACATAATCATAATTAATCATTTACATATAATCTTAATGGTCAAATGCGACGACAACGATTAACTTCTTCAAGTAATTACCTATGTGTCATTAATTAAAATGCATTTTGCGGCACATCTGGAGCTACGCAATTAATCCATTGCGACAGATGGTTTGAGGAGAGTGAGAGAGAGAGAGAGAAAGGTGAAAGAGGCTAAAAGAAGGGAAATTATATCAAAGAAGTCCGCAATGTCTCAGCTTCAAAACTCATTGAGAAGACTCATCATTTGTGTCACTTTTTCCCTCCACATTTCATGCCATGGCGTCACATCATATTATTCATTTACAATTGTTTGCAGAGCTGAAAGTTTAAAAGCCCACTCTTAATTTCTTTGACGCAATTTTTCACTTCACGTATCATTTCGTCGTATCAAATTTAATTAATTTCACCCACATTTGCGGGTGAAACTGTCCAATAATCATACTTTGAGGTGAAAGAAAAGAATGTGCATGAAGTTATATTTTACCAATTTTGCCCATCACTCATGCTATTCACACGACATAAATCATGAAACATGAAGTTTTACATAAAATTCACTATCCCATAATTCACACAAATTTGTCAATAGAGCAATTTGCTGCTCAATATATATTCAATAGATTTACGATTGCCTAATGATTAGTCAATGGCTTGTCATCGCAATTTTTCCATCTCACGGAAGATAATTCACATTGACCAATTTTGCCGCCCAAATGTAACTCGATCTCCATTTTGCCAACTTGAGTTTAATAGACAATGGGAGAAGAATTTAAATTTCATATCGCGCAATTGATGACAGAAGAGAAGCAAGTATATGAAACCTCTTGAATAATTGACCATTTATGATGAGTTGCAACAGTGATTCAGTCACGAAAACGATCGCAATAATTTTCCAATTGATATAACTCACTACATTTTTAGAGTCACAAAACCCCATCGAAATTCCATCCTTTCCTGACCTTCTATATATCGTTGGAACATACATATAGACAAGAAAAGCCCTAAATGAAAGCCATGGCAAATAAACCGAATAATAGCCGTGACAATTTCGTGACACTTATTAGCAGTTTATTTATGTGTTTGAATGAAATTTCGTGCATGACATTTTCTCAAAAGTGAGAGAAAGAGAGAAAATGCGCACAATTGTTGAGGAAATAAAATGCAATTGAGGATAAATTCAATTGACACAGCTAATATTTGAATTAGTGCTGAATCAATTCGGGAAATTTATTGGAATCAACAAAGTCAGGTTTCCTTCCTATTCAAGTGGCGTTCAACTCTTTCGTTTCCGCGACACGCTAATACAGATTTCGTGTATCTCAAGCAATTGCCAAAAATTATGCGAATATTTAATTGGTAAAAAAAGCGCCTTTTTCTTTTTTGTTTTCTTCAGTGAAATTTCACAGAAATTCCAATTGAAAATGCAAAAAAAAGACACTCACAATTACTCAATTCAGCCATTTCCTCCTGTGTGTATGTTCAATTGATATGTCAGGCGAGACAAAAAGACTGCATTTCAATTTGCAATATTGGAAGCTGTGCAATGGAAAACTCCACCGAAAAAGGATAAATCGATGGAGCGTACATGAAAGTTCAGCATTTATCTAGAGCTCTTATAGTGCATGGCAAGAGCCAGCAAGTTTGTAAATCAAAGCTGATATGGTGCAGTCACAGAGCGAAATTAATTAAAATTTTACGTATAAGGAGAGAATTTACATGTTTTTCATTCGCACAACAGACAAGAAAATGCGATAGACAAAGATACAACTAAAGGCAATTTCATTGGGGATTCTGGAATTTTGCTGCTCAAATATATTTTTAAATCAGGCAATGTGAGAAAAAATCAAGCAATTAAAGCTACCACGATTTTATAACAACATGTTGACCGATTTTTGTCTCCTTCTCATTCACTTTCTTCGTCTTTTTCATCTTCAATGGTGTCTTTTTGCGGCGCGTCACCATATAAATTTTCCCCCCTAATACAACACAACACCACATCAGAGAATTTATAGACACAACTTCCTCGATTTGGGAACATGTGAGGTGAACACACAGGTGAAAAATTGGCGGTGCCTCAGGAGAAATGTCCGAAAAGAGAAGTTTTTAATATGATTTTAGAGCATGTCTCACATCTCACCATACATAACCAATAACAAGCCGCGACCACAAATAAATTGCAACCAGTTTAATGAAGAGAGAAAAGAGTAAAAATAAGATCACCCAAGAAATTATTGCATAATATGCTCTCTGCCGCTGAGACTCTCTCACTCGCACACATGCGGCGTATTTTCTTTTTCTATTCGGAGCGGCTGTAGCTCTTTTTGATGTTTTTAAAAAGAGGCCTTTAAAAAATCCGATCGAACCATACTATAATTTCATACATTAACTTTATATACACATAATATATCCACACTCACACCTTTCTGGGACATTTTTATATGTACTTAATGACAATTTAGTGGGTTTCACGACTGCTATTAAATACACCAAGGCACTTTATAAACTATACACAAGATGTGTATAATATAATAATGTTTTATAGCAATATGATAATATAAATATTCGCAAAACTTGTGATATTTTCTCCATTTTTTTCTCACTCTCTTGAAACTTATTCATGGCAATTTCACGCGAAAATGCTCCAATTTCTCAGAAATTCACCTGTCTTTTTCGCAGAAAACTACTAATTTTCAGACGCACGGTGAATGAACTTTCATACATTTTATCACATGGTGAAGATCACGATTGATCGTGAGCATCAGGAAGGAAAATATATATTTCATTACACAATTGCAGCAAAGTTTTCCGCACAAAACAAGTCAAGGGTGTAAAAAGAATCTCATACACTGTTATCAAGGTAGATAAAATCATGAATTCAATTAAATTCGGTTACTTTAGGTTGCAATTTTCAACAAAAATCACCCACTAAGTGGCTCTAAAAATAAATTCACTGTCGAAAAATACTTCCGGAAACGTGAGAAGCAAAGGTATAATAGCAAAATTTATGAATTTATGCGCCTCCTCGTGAAATGAGGGCACGAGACATTCGCAACTATAACAATATAATAATAGGAAGTTGACAGGAGAGTTTTGAAGGTGAAAAGAATTCCACTTTGTGATCTCAAATCTGCCATGATCTTTCTAGCATCTGAAAGTGTGCACAAGAGCACAAAGTCAAGAGAGACTGAATTAATATCAACCAGACAGTCACAAAACTGTATTTTTAAGTTTAATTAGTCGGTCATGAGAGCGCAAAAACACTTAATTCTTTTATTTTATGCAGTCTCTCTCTCTCTCACTCAAAGTCAGTGACATTGAAACACTCTCTTATTAAAAGACAATTTATTATTACTTCTTTCCTCTCTTTCTCGCGCTTTTTTCTATGTTGAGCAATGAAAAGAGTAGATCAAGGTACCAATTTTCTGTCTACACACTATCTCACAATACATATGCTTAAAAATATAATTTCTGTCATATAATTAGGCACAAGTTGAAAGCACGCAGTGAGAAGGATAGTTGAATAAAAAGTCAACACAATGACACACGATGACAAACCCACGAATTTTAATTAAATCCACCATCAATGATTTTCATACTCACTCACACTCTTCATGTGTTATTTATTAAAGAAAATAAAACAAGGAGGAGAAAATTGTCTGAGAAATATTTGAATTATATTACTCAAAACGCGATGAACAACTCAACTTCAGTACTGCATTTTCCCTTTGCAGACCTTCCACTTCGCGCACACTTGCCGAGACATTGCAAAATACTCGGGATTAAAAACTAAATGCATGACGACACTTCAGACCCCGAAATAATTCGGGTAATTTAAATTATGTTGGTTACAGAAATGACCACAGAGGTAGTTTACAATAATCAATTACACTGATTCAATCTTGTAAAAACAATAACTCAACAACCACAATTTAGAAGAGAAAATGCTGATGTTTTT